CACCCAGCTTCTTTGCCACATCTCCAGTAGAAATGCCAGGGTTGGTGGATGTGATCTTGGGGTGAAATTCTAAACAAAATAGAAAAAGTCCAGATGATGACCTTTTGGGGGCCATTAAGGTCCTTTTTCTTCTTGCCTTGCTTAGTTGGCCCATAACCTTTCATTTTCTGATCATACTGTACTTTATCCACCTTTGCCACTTCAACAAATTTTGACTTCTCTTTCCCAGACATTGCCTTCCAGCTCTCAGAACACTTCATAGAAAATTCTGCAAAATTGGGACCAGCATTTAGCGTAATGGCTATGTCACTGAACACTTATGTAATTGACCGCAGTTGGAGTCCTGGACTCGGTGGCTTAAACTCATGCTGGGCGTGTGTGTGTGTGTGCCCAAGATCCCTAGAGGAGAATGGAGGAGAAGGAATTGTGGCGTGGCCATCCCCCTGGGGAGGTAATTTCTTGCTCTTTGTCTCTGTCTCTGTCTCTCTCTGTGTTTCTGGCAAGCACATGCACCCTATAACAAAAGGAAGGAAGAGGAAAAGAAAGAAAGAAAGAAAGAAAGAAAGAAAGAAAGAAAGAAAGAAAGAAAGAAAGAAAGAAAGAAAATTCTGCAAAATTGACAGGGACCTCCAGGTTTTTCTTCTTATGCTCCTCTCTGCAGGCCTGCATAAAGAAGGCATAAGCAGATATCTTGCCCTTTGGTTTCTTGGGGGTCACCTTTAGCCATCCTCAGTGTATTGCTTGCTAGTCTGGGTGGTGCAGGGCACAAAGTGTTAGATGCCTCCACAAGATCCCTCATTTTTTAATTTCTTATTTACACTTAATTGTTGGACATCTTTATGGTGTACAATATAGTTTTACCTTTTCTCTTTTAAATTTTGTTATAGAGTGCATGTACTCACTAGAAGGAGACAGAGAGAGAGAAAGGGAGAGAGAAAAACATTCTCCCTGATTAATTCCTTCTCCTCCATTCTCCTCTTGGAATTTTGGGCACACATGCACACTCTCCCAGAGTGTTTCTTTAGCTGCTGGGTCCAGGACTCAAATCACACAGACAGTCATGTGGGATCCAGTCACCTTAACCTACACACCACCTATTGGCCTACAATATTGTCTGTCAAAGCATGCATGTGTTGTATAACACATGCATTCATTCAAATCAACACACCCCTCTAGGGAATGGCCACTCCACCATCCTTTCTTCTCTATTCCTCCTTTTGGGATGTTGGGCTTCCATTCACATGTACCTGTTGTGTTTTTCAAGCCTCCGGGTCCAGAACTCAAACTACAAGTCACATGGTATTCAGCCACCTTAACCTACACACCACCTACTGTCCTACAATATTGTCTGCCAAAGCATGCATGTGTTGTATAACACATGTATTGATTCAAATCAAGAAATATTGTCAAAAGGCATTCCAATAGGTAAAGAAGAGTTGAAATGAGTGTTTGTAGATGACATGATTGTATACATAGAAGACCTAATAGTATCCACAAAGAAATTTCTCAAAGTAATAAATGCATACAGTAAAGTGGCAAGATATAAAATTAACTTACAAAGATATTTAGCATCTCTATATACAAACAACAAACAGACAGAGACAGAACTGAAGAAAATAATCCCATTTATCATAGTCACAAAAGTATAAAATACCTAGAAATAAAACTAACCCAAAGTTAAGGACCCCTGTAAGGAAAACTATGAAAATATTAAAAAAGAAATTGGAAAGGAAACAAAAAAGTGGAAGGACATCCAATGTTCCTGGACTGGGATAATTAATATAATCAAAATGGCAATCATACCCAAATTAATCTACATATTTAATGCAATTCCTATAAAATTACAAGAGACATTCTTCACAGATCTAGAAAAGACAATCATAGAATTTGTCTGGAATCATAAAAGATCACGTATTGCCAAAGCCATCCTGTGCAAGGAGAGTGGAGTGGATGGCATCTCTCTTCCTGACCCCAAAATATATTTCAAGCAGTGATAATCAAAATAACATGGTATTGGCACAAAAAACAGGCATGAAGTCTAATGGAATAGGGACCCCAGAAATAAACCCAAAAATATACAGCTAACTGATCTTTGACAAAGGGTACCAGTCAATCTGGTGGGAAAAGGAAAACTTCTTTAGCAAATGGTGCTGGAAAAACTGGGTATCCACCTGCACAAAGATGAATGTGAACCCCTATCTGTCACCATTAACAAAAGTCAACTCAAAGTGGATCAAAGATCTCAACCTAAGATCACAAAATATGAAACTACTGGTGTAAAACACTGGGGAAACTCTGGGAGACACTGGGGCAGACAGACTTCTTAAGCAAGACCCCCAAAGCACAGGCAACAATCCCCAAATAGACAGGTGGGATTACATCAGACTAAGAAGTTTCTACACAGCAAAGGACATAGCAATTAGTGTGAATTGACAACCCTCAGAATGGGAGAGAATTTTTGTTAACTATGCCTCAGATAAGGGACTGATAGCCAGAATACACAGGTAACTCAAGCAGCTTACCTGAAAGAAAATGATTAACCCAATTAAAAGATGGGGAAATGACCTGAATAAACAACTTTCTAAGGAAGATATACAAACAGCCAAAAGCATATGAAACAATCCCTTCTCCTCCATTCTCCTCTCGGGATCTTGGGCACGCACGCACACACGCCCAGCGTGAGTTTTAAGCCACCGGGTCCGGGACGTGAACCGCGGTCGACTATGTGGGAGTCCAGCGACATAGCCATTACGCTAACTGCTGGTTCCCAAGAGCCTGGCTTTTGATAGAAAGTGGATGAACATGGAAGATCTATCAATGAGTGAAGCAAGACAGGCTATGAAACAGAGACAGCGTATGTCTCCACTTCACATATATGGACTTTCTGCACTCTAGGGTAGAGACTGAAAGACTGGAGGACATAAAAGCATTAAAAATTACTATGGACACTGGGGACAAAGTGGAAGGAGAGTGGGAGTTTTTTAGTGCAAGAAGGGAAAATTTGGGAAAATATGCAGAAGACACTTGTGTTACACAGATATGATTTGTTGCCTGCTGGTGATGACGTGTATAGTAGTATCAACTTGTCTGTTGTGTGGCATATATCATGTTGGGTAAAATCTCTTTACAAACTGAGTGATGTATAATGATTGAATGTATAAAAATAATAAATGATACTAATAAAAATAAATATTGTCATACATTTTCAACAAAGAATCTTACATTTTGTGTCTGTTAAATTATTTTTTCTGAGCATCTACCATCCAGTCCTCATGATCCATCTCTTTCCCATACAGTCTCTGGTATCCACAGTTGTCACCTCTACTTTTCTTTTTTTTTTGTCTTCGAATCTTTCAATTTCTGCCTTAGAGTGCAGACATTTGGTATATATTGGAATGGGGACATACGCTGTTTGTCATTCATAGCCTACCTGCAGAAAAATGAAACAAACATTTTCTTAAATTACATCTTGAGTCCTTTCAAGTCCCTCCGTCATTAACAGACTTAAAGTGCCACAGTTTCTCCTGGGGTAAAAATGAAATACTAGTTTGTTTGGAAAGTCACGATGCATTTTTGCATAGAAAAACATAGACAAATACATCATGACTTTCCCAATGACCTAATAGCTTCAACTCCCTCATTTTGATAGATCAGTTCTTCATTCATGTCTTCCCAAACTTCCAAAATAGGATATAGGAACACAATATAACTATCTCCTAGGCAGAGGGCATTTTTGAACAATTCAGGAAGAACCTATGACATCACAGAGCTTTCATTTAGTAAGAGGGAGAGATAATAAAGGAACAAATGACATTTGTGTGCTACTTTCTCTCTGCTCCCTCTGAGATCCCTGCTTGGAGCCAACGCCCAGGTGGATGCCCCATTCACCTTGTGCCAGCTTCACATACGTGTAAAGACATCCTCCTTACCCTGCTCAAGTTCAACATCCATGCTGAGTTTTTCCTTGAACTTATTAGCCTTTGGGAACTGTGTTCCTTAGGTACTGGAAGAGATTTGGTGATGGGGTACCAAGCAGGTTAAAGAACACAGTAGAGTCAAGGGTTGGTGAGTAATAGTCCAGGGAAAATTTCAGCTTCTGAAGAGAATGGCTTTGGTTAAGAGAGTTGAAGGGCACAGGGGAGAATCTGAGGAACTTGGAAACAGGCAGCATTATATGTGGAATGGCACGCAGCGCAAGAAAGCCAGCAGACATATTACAGACATGTAGGAAGACCTTGATGTTGATAGGTCTAGAGTGACGTGGCAGATACAACATTCAGATGAAGAACACAAGTCTTAGCTGGAGAGGATAGGTTAGTGCTGGCAGATATTCGGTTTCTGAGTTCTTCCTTATGAATGACGACTCTTCTACTTGTTTTGTTTCATTGTTTTGTCTTGTACTTCTTTGCATCTCTGGCTGATAGTACTGATAAGCTATTATACCAAGACTTCAAGATTCAACCATAGAGGGAGCCTCTCTGGCCTCAGTAATGGACACAGTTACCAAAAACAAGAAGCTGGTAACTTTCTCGCAGGTTCTCTGGTGGTGCCATATCTGATAAACCCTTTTTTAGGTGAAGAACAAAACTAGCATGTTGTGAATTTTGAATAGAGTGACATGTACAACAGACAAACTTTGGAAAAACGTATTTTGTGTTATGGATATGTACGACAATTAAATGTAAATAAGAAATCATAAAAGAAAAAAAATGCACAATGACAACAAAAGAGCAACACGAATACTACTTACAGGATAGCAGACAGATTCTGCACTGTGGCCCCCCAGGGGGAAACACGTTCTCTTTAAACAGATCTGTTGCCTTGCCTGGTTCTGGGACCCCTGGGACCCTGGGCCTGGGCTGAGTTTCTGAGATGACCAGCCCTGCAGCTGCACCCAGTCCTGCCCACCACCTGCTGCTCATATGCATGTCCCCAGGGCACAGCCCACAGTCTAAAGACTTATTAATAGGCTGGTCACAGCCTGTGCAGGGTCAGTCCCCATCAGGACACAACATGGACATGAGGTTCCCCGCTCAGCTCCTGGGGCTCCTGCTGCTCTGGCTCCCAGGTAAGGAAGGAGAACCCGAGGATTCACTCAGGACAGTGGGGTCAGTGCTGCTGGCCCTTCAGGGAAGTCCTCTCATATCACGGTTAACCGTGTGGATATTTGCTTTTCTGTTTCCACTCTTAGGTGCCAAATGTGACATCCAGATGACCCAGTCTCCCTCCTCCCTGCCTGCATCTCTAGGAGACAGAGTCACCATCAGCTGCCGGGCGAGTCAGAGCATTAGCAAGTGGTTAGCCTGGTATCAGCAGAAACCAGGGAAAGCTCCTAAGCTCCTGATCTACTATGCAACCAGTTTGCAAACTGGTATCCCATCGAGGTTCAGTGGCAGTGGGTCTGGGACAGATTTCACTCTCACCATCAGCAGCTTAGAGCCTGAAGATGTTGGAAGTTACTACTGTCAACAGTATAGCAGTGCCCCTCCCACAGTGCTACAAACCCAAACACAAACCACCCAGGAAGGTAGAAGTGTGAGCTGGGCTGAGCCAGCTGCTCCTTCTGTGGCCTCCATCGGTTGAGGGTGTTTCTCAGATGCAGCCATACTTACAGTCACTGTAAGGTTTTGGTAGAAGGACCAGGGAAATTCTCCAACATCCTGTCTTTCAGCCCTGGCAGCACAGTCATGATAATGACCCTTGTGATTTCAGAGATTGTTCCACCTGGGAGTCTGTGCTATGGTGACAGTCAAGGTTTACATGGAAAAAGAGTAACTGTTCAATATATTCCAAGAAGGAATACTTTGAATATAGGAAATTAATATTTTAACAACAGTCTTTCAAAGGCCTGGGATTATAGTGGGTAGGGAAGAAGATGCTTCAAATGGAGGGATTCTTTGGTGTTCTTCTATGTAGAATTCAGAGCACATCTGCTATCATAAACATAGACTGCCTAAGTGCATGGTCCTCAGTCAAAAGGCACAGTCCCACTGGTGGTCTGAGTTGCGATTAGAAATCAGGAAGAACATTTTTCTAGATTAAGTGTTGTGTAGATGTAGCCACACAACCTTCAGTGGAGACAACAGATTTCAAGTTGTCAGAAGCAACAGTTGTGTGTACCTTAATATTTCAATCATCCATGTTGGAATAACATGAACAAAAGAATAATAACACCAATTTTTTTGAGAGTTTTTTGCCATAGGGCGTGTGTGCTCACCAGAAAGACAGAGACAGAGAGACAGAAAGTGAGGAAAGAAAGTGAAAATCCCCTGCCACAATCTCTTCTCCTCCATTCTCCTGTTGAGATCTTGAGCACACACACACACACACACACATGCCTGGTATGAGTTTAAGCCACCGGGTCTGGGACTCTAACTGCAGTTGACTACATGGGAGTCCAGTGACATAGCCATTATGCCAACTGCTGGTCCTAAAGACATTATCATTCACATTATCATCAGCAGACAATTTTCCATTTTTGTGTCAGTTAAATGTTTTTCTTTTATTCCCCCGTGATTCCCTGCTCCCCACCTGTTCACTCTTTGCACTGTTTTTAGTTTGGTATTATTATATATGCTTTTTCTCTTTTTAAGAATTAATTTATTTAACATTATTTATTATTATTATTTTAAAACTGATAGAAAGAGAGAGAGAGAGAGAGAGAGAGAGAGAGAAAGCCTTCAGTTCCGGAATTCGAACCATGGTTGCCCATGTGTCGTTAACCACTGGGCTACCTGCCAGTCGTATGTTTTTTTTCCCAAGAAAAGCAGTTTAAGCTTTAATGAATCAAAATAAACAAAGTTAAGACAAATTTGCTTAAGACTTAAAGGCGGGAAAAAGTTTAGTTTCTGTTCAAAAAGTAGGTAAATACTAAAAACTCAAAAATTGAATATGGACAGAGCTAAAATCTAATAGCAAGTATGCTGTAATTTTCTTCTGAAACATTTTCTTCTCTCTCCATTCCTCCTTTTAACAACAACAACAACAACAAAAATCATAAACTAACTCATTTGCCAAAAAAAAAAAAAGTGTTTAATCTCAATCTGGTCTGTTATTTGCACAAAGCCCCATAAGAATACTCATTGATATAGCTACTTTGATGGAACCTTTTATAAGGAACTTCTGATTAGACTCTTTAAAAGGCTACTAAGATAAGTCAGGAACTCACCAGCTGACTGTGCCTTTAAGGACCTGTCAGCAGGAGATATTCTTTACTTATCTGCCAGGCAGAACTGTTTATGGAATCAGGCAATCTTTCCAAGAGCTTCGATTGGCTTTCTTTAGTTTTGAATCTTTTATTTATTTTTACATTTTCCCACAAACATTTGCTTTACATATCAAAAAATTTTTGCTCATACTCCATAGTTCTTGAGAGTTAATAACTTTCAAAATCTCAAAAACGTGAATTTTAAAGATGTTTGAAATATTTGTTATAATTTTGTTGTCTATAACAACAGACATAGTATTGTTTTAATAATTTTTGATAAAATATTTTCATGTCAACTATTTAAACTGCTGAAAAGCAAACACCCAGCACATAATTCACACATGAACCTTAATTAAGCCCTGCCTGCCAAGTATTCTGTGATATACCATCTGCTAGCAAAGATCAATCTCTTTTTCTTCAAAGTTTTCCTCCAAATAATCCTCTGGTTGTGGTTGCTCTTTTACAGTCTCTACTGATTACAATGCTGGACTGGAAAAGTCCAGGTTATTTTATGGTACGAATTATTTTATGTAGCTTCTCTAATTCTCTCTGCCAGGCAGAATTGTTCATGGTGCCAGGCCATCTTTCCAAAAGCTTCTGTTGGGTTACTTGAGATCTACTTAGTTCTGTAGTTTCCTGGTTTAATCTTCAGATATGACATTCCAGTCAAAACTCTGACCAGTAATAAGTATTTCCAATTTCTGATTCAAGGTGACAGGTATTAATGAACTCATGCAAGTAACCATTCTGCCACAAAATAAGAATACTCTCAAGTATTTTCCAATTTCAGAGGGGTCAGGAAGGGAGAAAAGTTTGTTTCCATTTAAAGAAACAAAAAAAAAAATGAAGAAAAAGCATTTAAACAAATTGCTTAACCTACCAATAGCTCAGAAAAAAAAAGCAAAATCCTTAAATTGGGAAAACAAAGTATAGTAAAGAACAAATCAGTAATGTTTTACTCAAGTCATAAAATTCTATTTCACCAGTTCAGTCTTATGTACTTAATTTCTCTTCTGTTGAATTGAATTTGCGGTATTATTGTGGTCCGATCTTTTCATTTAAATCCTGGAAGCTAACATTCAGCATTATTATTGATATTTCTTGTCCCTAGCTTTAAACTGATCATTTTCTTTGTCCTTTTTGCTCTCTTATTTCTGTATATGTGCCTTTAGTTTTCCTGATAAAGCACTCTTTTAAGAACTTCTTGAAGAGCTGGTCCAGCATTGGTAAAATCTTTCAGGTTTTGTTTATCAGAGAATGCTTTTATTTTTTCTTCTCATATGAAGGATAATCTGGTCGGGTATAGTATTCTTGTCTGAAACTGTTTTTTACTTAACACTTGGGATATATTTTCCCATTCTTTCCTTACATTGTTTCTGATGAGAGATCTAATGTTAGCCTTATCTATGAATTTGGCCAGTCTGGCTATGATGAGCCTTGGAGAAGATCTTCTTGGGTTGATTCTATTAGGGGTCCTTTGTATTTCTGGGGTCTGGATATTTGAATGCCTCTCTAGATTTAGAAAGTTTCCTTCCAGGATTTCACGAATAGATTATCAATGCATTTATTAGTTTCTTCACCTTCTGGGATACTGATTATCCGTATGTTTGGGCACTTAATGGTGTCTAGTATTTCTCATATAGTATTCTCATTTTTTTTTTTTTTGGCTATTTTCTCTGCTTTTTTTTTTTTTTTTCCCCTAGGTCAGCGGTTTTTCCTTTAATATTTGAGATTCAATCTTCTGCATGGACTCATCTGCTTTTAATACTTTCGTGTGAGGTGATTTTGTAGCCTTCATCTCTAACAGCTCCATTTGATTCTTTTTTATGGTGTGTATTTCCCCTTTCAGATCATGTGAGAACTTCTTCACCTCCTGGAACTCGTTGTCTCTTTTCTTCTGCATCTTCTGGTGGTCATTGTCTCTCAGCTCTTGTATCTCATTTACTTTTGTCACTGTGAATATTCTGAATTAGCTATTAGACATTTCCATGAGTTCCACTGTACTGTCTGTGGATGATGAAGGATTGTTCTTTTCACTTAGGGGAGAGATACTTTCTTGGTTTCTCATAATTCTTGTGCTTTTGTGGTGGTTTCTGGTCATTCTGTGACAAAATCTCTTCTCTACTATGTTTTGCAACATGATATCCACAGAAAGATTATGAGTTCAGATTTATAAAAGGAAGTTTCTTTCTTAAAGCAGAAGGTTGAATAAGCATTGAGGATTTCAGTGACTCTAAAAGTACTCAGATGCTTGGCTACTGTGCACCTAGGCCTGTCAAGACACTCAGTGTGTGGAGACTGAAGAACAGAGTGGGAAAATAAGGTTAAAGAATAAAAAAAAGCAAAAGAAAAAAAAATGAGACAAAAACAACTAAAACAGAGAGAGAGAGAGAAAAGAAAACCATGCAGCAAACTAGCATGCCATGCAAACATGTGAGGCACACCTCAGATTTAAAATGGTTTATGAAATTATCAATAGAAAAAGACTTAAGGTGAGAAGATGAGGTTTGAAAATTAAAAGAAAATAATAAATAAAAAATTTTAAGAGAGAGAGAGACAGACAGATAGAGGACAGAAGTCACCCTACCCTGTCTGAGTATTTTGGGGGGCTAGAAGAAGCGGTTTAGAGCATAGCTTTAGTCTTCTTGGTCCCTGAACTCACCAGGACACAGCTCAGATTTAAAATGGCTTCTGAAATTAGCAAGAGAAAGAAAAGGCCTGAGGTGAGAAGTGGTTTGAGCATTATACCTTCTAGATGAATTAGCCCTTATACTACTTTATGATGTCCTTCTTTGTCTCTTCTTGAAGGTTTGGTCTTAAAGCCTATTTTGTCTGAAGTTAGTATTGGCACTCCAGCCCTTTTTTGATTTCCATTTGCATGGACTACCTTTTTCTGCCTTTTACTTTTTGTCTATGTATAGCTTTATCCATGAGGTGTGTTTCCGATAGGCAACAGATAGAGGGTTTCTGTTTTTCAATTCATTCAGCCAGTCTGTGTCTCTTGATTGGAGAATTTAATCCATTAATATTCAATGTTATTATCAATACTTCTGGACTAGTCCCTACCATTATGTTAGCCATTTTCTTGGTTGTTTTTTAATGCTCTTATTTTTGTCTCCCTTTAGTTTTCCTGGTACAGCACTCCCTTCAGAACTTCTTAAAGAGCTGGTCTGGTGTTAGTAAATTTTTTCAGGCTCTGTTTATCTGAGGATATTTTTTATCTTTTATTCCCATTTGAAAGATAATCTTGGTGGATAATCTTGGTAGAAATTACTTTTCTTTTAACACTTTGAATATATCTTCCCATTCTTTCCTTGCTTGCATTATTTCTGCTGAGAGGTCCAATGTTAGCCTGTTGGGATAGGCTTTGTAAGTAACTCGCCATTTCTCTTGTCATTTTTAGTATCCTGTCTTTATCTGTGATTTTGGTCATTCTGGCTATGATGTGCTGTGGAGAGGATAACCTCTTGGATTAATTCTATTTTGGGACCTTTGCATTTCTTGGGTTTGGATATTTGATTGTTTCTCTAGGTTTGGAAGTTTTCTGCAAGCATTTCATAGAATAGACCTTCTATGCCCTTATCCGATTCTTCACCTTCTGAAATATCAATTATTAGAATATTTCATAGTATCTAGTATTTCTCATATGTTGTCCTTATTTTTTTTAATTAGTTTTTCATTATTTTTGGTGCTTTTACCTAAGTTAAGGGTTTTTTTCTTTTAACTCCGAGATTCTGTCTTCTGCGTGGTCCAGTCTACTATTAATACTTTTGAGGGAGGTCTTGATTTCCTGTATTATTGTCTTATCTCTAGGAGTTCAGATTGGTTTTTTTTTTTTTTTTGGTCTCACAGTTAGAATTTATTAAAGGGAAAGGACACAAATTAAAATCAACAACAGGGAATGGTACATAGAACAGGAGAGACCAGGTACAGAGTCGCCAGTCATTCTTGTCCAGTGGAGTTGTATAGACAATGCTTATTTCTCCCAGTAATGATGTGTGACAACATGCACGAATTGTTGATAACCAGGAAGCTTACCCAAGACTCGGCGTCCAGGTGTTTTGGGGGTTCAGCAATGTGGGCATTACTGAACACACACATTACTGACCTTAGTTTCTAGGGCCTCCAGAGGTCAAACTGCTACCATACAATTCAAGGCCTATACCATAATCAAATTGCAAGCACAGACTATGTGACATGGCCCTAGGACTCCAGGTTAAACAAAGGCACTCATCTGGCAAGGCATTCCAAAGGCTTAGAGGTGATCGCCTAGGAGCTGTAGGCCAAGGTTAATCCTTTACTGCATACATGTGTCTCATACATTAAAACATAAATTTCTCAAGATTAGCATCTCTCTACCTTGGTCCTACTCCACACCTGAGATTTTAAACCTAAGGTTCCAAACTTTCTCAGTTTAGGATACTTTTGTGTCTAAGTTATTTGTCATGGTGCCTTTTAAATCCCAAAGAGATTCCTAATAATAAGTAGGTCCAACAACTTAAGGGTTTGGATGGTGTCTGACAAGTGATACTGTGATTCCCTCACGAATTCCAAATATCCCATAGTTTGCTGCAGTGCTTCAGGGTACCTTGGCAGACAATTTGGAAAATACATTTCTTTTTTTTTAATTTATTCATTTTCTACATTAATTCACTATACACCATCACAACACACAAATGAATTTTCCATCCAAAATACACTGTGCATTGGCTCAATCATGCACATCAACATACATGTTCTCAGCAAATAATTTTCCAATTCTTATGTCCTGCATACCTTGCCTTTTGTTTTGCCATCCTTGATTCCCCATCCCCCACCCTCTGCTATGTCCTATCCTCCTCACCCATTGTCCCTGGCATCCATGGTTGCCCTCCATGCCTCCCCCCCCATTCAATTGTTCTGCCAATGAACTTAATTAGTATAAATATATCCAATAGCTAGCACAGCTGACACATACCTATACATGAACCCAAGTCTGACTTTAGGCATAAATCCCAGTGAGTAGAATGAACATACTATAAAGTAGTACCCAGCTGTGCCCATACAGCTCGCTGCAGTCATCAAATGTGTATTTTTTTTTCCTCCTGCAACTTTTTTTTTTTTTTTATATATTATATTACCTAACGCTCATTCCCTGAGCATCATCACAACACACTAAATGTAGTTTCCCATCTAGGATACACTGCATAGTGTCTTAATCAAGCATGTTATCACCAATAATATTCCATTTCTACTTTCATACATATGTATACATATATATCTATGTTTTTTATTCTATGTTTGACCCTCAGCCCTCTCCCCCTCTCCCGTTTACACTATCTCTGCTATAAACAGTTGTCTTCCAGAGGGGTCATTGAAAATGCGATACCTG